GGGACGGGACACGGCGAGGGCGGCGGGCGCTGAGGGCCTCTCTCCGCAGGCTGTTTGCCATCGGGTCGCAGCTGTCCCCCGAGGTCGGGAGCTCCGGGATCGAGATGCTGGAGACTGACACCTTCAAGCTGCACTGCTTCCAGACCCTGACAGGTACAGCCCGGCCCCGGGTGCCCGGGCCCGCCCTGCCGCTGCCTCCCTCACCTCCCTGTCGTTGCGGTTCCAGGGATCAAATTCGTGGTTCTGGCTGACCCGAGGCAGGCAGGGATAGACTCCCTTCTCCGCAAGATCTATGAGATTTACTCGGACTTTGCTCTGAAGAATCCTTTCTACTCCCTGGAGATGCCAATTAGGTAAGGAAAAGCCCCTTTAATCAACTACGACCGCACGTCGCTCCACCTGTGCAGTAACAAATGCTGACGGTCCAGTAGTAGCAAAGAAAACCCAGAGGCTGAGGGAGGGAGTAAGATGCAGCATGCTGCTGCAGGGATGGGGCACCGACTTGTGCTTTTCCCAGCACTGCTCTGCTGGGGAAGTGGGAGGTGCTCTTGGTACAATCCCCGCTGTCCTAGCATAACACTCAAGCCCATATGAGATTTCACCTTAATTACAGCCAAGCCAAAGCTTGACAGCAGCCAGGCTGCTGCCTTATGACTTCCAGAATCTCTCCTTGGAGGCTGCAAAGCCAGAGGATGTAGAGATCCTGTGTTCGCTAGCCTGTTCCATAGGTTAAGTCATCCCTTTCTGCTTTTCCAACTGTTTAGATGTGAGTTGTTTGATCAGAACTTGAAACTTGCTCTGGAGGTGGCAGAGAAAGCTGGACCCTTCGGACCTGGATCGTAGAGGCGGCCTCACCAGCGCGTGGACTCCTTCCTCTGAAGAGCAGGGCCCCCCTCTTCCCAGCTGGCCTTTCCCGGAGCGCTCTCCTCTGCGGCAGAGACTGTGTATCTCCAAAACATGCTTCATTATCTCCCCAGACACCTTTTTATCCCCTTTGTTATGACATTTACCTTAGACTGACTACTACTGTTTACATTTGGCCACAGAGGCTTATTCTGCTGTTGCAGCTCTGCTGCCCTTGAGTGAAGACAGATGAGGTGCAGGTCCACGGTCTTACCCTGGTTGATTGGTTTTTGTCTCGTAATTGTACATATGTATTTTTCCTGTATATCTCTAACATGGTTTGGCAGAGAGTCTCTGAGTAGAAGTAATAAAGGTGTGTGGCAGAGGTGGAGGGCTGCTTGTTTTCTGCTGGCAGGGTCAATCTGTGCCAGCAGCGCCTCAAGGAGAAAGTTTGGGCAGTTCTGCTTGCACCAGACAACCAGAGCCCTTGTAGCACTGCTCCATTTTATTTCACAGACAGGAGAAGATCATGTAATTAAGTACAAAATGTAATTCACTTCTCTTGTTTTAATTAAGGCTGGATACCTACTCCTGCAACCGAGCTGTTCAGCAAAGTATCTGTGTGGAGGTTCTCCACAAGTTGAGAACTCACTGCTTCCAGGACCCCTAAAGCAGTAAATCCTTTTGGGGAAAAACAAGAACATTCAACAAAATCCCCGTTAAAAACCTGAGTTTACTTACTGCAAAGAGCACTGGGCCTGACCACTCAAGGCCACTGGCTGTCGGTGGTGGCTCTGCCAGGCTGACTCGGAGGTAGCCCAAGCCCCTGCCCGCAGCCATAAGGGACCTAGCTCTTGGCTGAAAACATCCTGGACTACACAACTCGCACTGAAGAAATACAAGCCAATGCTAGAAATGTGGGTTTTCATGAAACACAGCTGCACAAGTCGTGGGGCTGCAGCAAGTGCTGTCGCAATACCTGGCTGCTGCCAGGTGGGTTTTCCTGGCCGGTTTGCAGAGCACTGGCTCTGCGCTGCCTCCCCTGCAAATCATTAACGCCAAACACAGAAACAGCAGCAGGCAGAAGCGCTCCTACAGCAGGAGCCTCTCTAAACGTTCTCCCCTGAAACACCAAGAATTTCTTGGAAACGTGCCTATTACTAAGCGCTGTGGAGAGCCCTGCCCCAGCACCGCGCCGGCGTTCCACCTGCCCAGAGCAAAGCACTTCTCTCGCTCCTGACAGCTGACCCCAGGTTAAACTAAAGCCACGCTGCTTGCTAATCAGCCGTGAGGCCGAACCGTAATCATCATCACTCACCACTGCGCTGCTGTTCTGGGGCCGAGTGCGTGTGGGGGCTCACGCCCCAGTAAACCCGGGCAGCTGCACTTGCAGCTGCTGGCTGGGATGAAGGCAGGCAGTGAGGGCTCACCCCGGCGCCCCTGAACGAGGCTGAACTGACAGGTAACACCTGAGATGAACCGTAAGGACAAAACTAAATGTGACAACACCTGAAGCCAGAAGTTTCTGAGTATGTTTAGTGGAGAAGCTCGGGCTGCGAAGCCTGCTTGCTTCACCAACAGTGCTGTGAGAAGGAGGTGCAGTAAAATCATTGCTTATGTAAACGAGCTGAATTAATCACATCTTGAGGGGAAAAGGGGTCGGTAGCAGGAACCTCGTGCCCTCAGGCACCCGGCAGTGGGTGAGAAATCGAGACGTTTTTATCTAGGTTGCAGCAATAGGTAAACCTCATTCCTAGGCCAGTTAAACGAAAACCAAGCGTCATTCACGTTGGCACAGGAGCGTCCTCTTCACCGAGCAGCTCGTCCTCAGTCAGCCTTCCTGGGAACCCGTCCCATCTTGGTGCGGATGTTCCGCAGGAAGAAGAAAGCCACCGTGCTACTGGTGCAGGTGATCTCGGCTACCCAGAAGGCTGTGGCCCAGCTGTAGTGTTTGGCGATGGTACTGAAGGGCAGTCCGGCCAGAAAACCCCCAACTGTAAGGAAAAACAAGCAAAAAACTAGCAAGGCTTGAGCATCTCAGTTTTACCTGCCAATACTTGTTTGCTGCACATGTAAAAATTCCTCGGGCCCAGTATGAACTTAAAGCACAAGGCAAGAACCCATTAGGTACAGCAGGAAGCACCCCTGAGGCTTCCAGCTCTGTTATCTCTGCTTCTCGCGTGGCCTCCTGTGACCAGGAACTCAGCACCCAGGGGCTAGGCTGCGCTTCGTCCAAAAACCACACGGGTTTTGTTTGTTTTTTGGGGAAACGGGTGTTACTCACTGTTGGCCATGAGGGCCACGATGGCGTGGGAGGTGCCACACAGGTTGGCAGGGGCACTTTCGTTGGCTATAACCCCAAACAGGGCGATCGGCCCGTACGAGGAGAACCCAAACACACCTCCCAGAGTCAGGATCCACAGCTGTCAAAACAAGTTAAGATCAGAAACAGGATCTGTGCGTGTCACCACGTCAGTCAGCAGCTGCTGACAGATAGCAGATCCTGTATGTATGGTACGAGAGGGTTTTGACATTTTCGGGCTGACAGCAGCTCCCTGCAGCTGGCCTGCAGACAGCAGAGCTCAGGCCTTTGACAGACCCCATGTACGTGCAGCCCAGCTGCACCTCCTCCGTGCCGTCTCACTGGCTAGTGCAAGCTCTCCTCTCCTACAGTTCTGCCCCCTACACCCTGTACAAGCAGCATGTACCATTTCACAAGGAAGAACCATAACATAGAAGAGAGATAGGCAACGAGCCTGTGAAATCACAGGAGAGCGCTGTGGATTGAGTCGCTTTTAAAAATGGTCCTGGAGACACGAGGAGAAGAGCCAAAAGCTCTTCTCATTTTAGGTGCAAGTAACTGATCAGAGCGTCTTTATTTGCACAAAGCCACCATCCGATAACCTCTGTGTTAATAAACAAACACAGAAACAAACCTGAAAAAATGCAACAGTTGGGACTTCAGTGTTAGCATACACTATAAGAAAACTACCTGGCCCAGAATTTATCAGTCACTTGGGAAAGGACTACAAAGGATACATAACTTGACCACCTTGAGATTACAGTATGATTCTTGAACTATAAATACCATTTCATGACACCCAGGAGGAAGCAAATGCCATCTTATTTTCCAGATGGGAAACAGAAACAAAGAGTTAGGAAAACACATGCCAAAAATTAAGCAGGAAGGCAGCAAGAGCAGAATTATTTCTCCTGACCTCACTCACAAGACCCCTTAAACTGGCTACATTTTACCTGATGAACAAACACCCTCAGAACCTTCTACATAAGACCTTAAAAGCTTTAGATGCAGACTTCTTGAAGTCCGTTAGCATAATCAAACAATTATAAGAAAAGGTTGTTTTTACAAAACTTACAGTAATCTCAATGCCCTGGTTCTAAGTTGTGTAGTGTTACCCAACCTCCCTGGATAGGAAAAAGGCAGATCAGCCAAAGCAGAAACAGGCAGAGGGAGAAAAAATGCAAGGCAGAAACCTCATGTTCTGTTAGGCCTGTGAGATCAGCTAGAGGTTGCAAGGCTACAGTCCAGAAGTGATTTTCCTGAAGAAGAAAGAAAAGGAAAAGAGAAGTTTTATTTACTTAGCAATCATGATGGCAGATGCAAGTCCTGCCTGTGCTACCGCCGGTAATGTGGGCTGCGCGTGCTGGCTTGGGCAGCAGAACCAGTGCAAACCTGACTAAGCCTGGCTCTCTGTGCTACAAACACAGTTCTCGGGAAAGGCAAAGAGAAGAGTCACAGGCTCTGTCACCAAACGCCTGAGCACTGAAGTGCCCTCCCTCCCGCTTCGGGTCAGCTGCCAGCGCAGGGATTACCTTGGGGGAATTGCTGGTGACTGTGACACGGAAGAGGAACATGGACACTGACATCCCAGCCATCATGGACAGCAGCAGCGCGTGCCGAGGGTTCCCGTAACTCGAGAGGCCAACCTGCAATGCGGGAAGGGAGACCCAGGGTTGGAGACAGGACAATCCTTCCGCGTTACACTCGTAGTAGCTACCGGCCGTCCCCGCAGCCCAAACCGGGGGTGCATCAGGAGCACACCCACCAGCAGGGCCTCCTGGCTCGGCTTAAGGTCAGCCCACAGTCACATTGTGCTAAACAAGCCGCTCTCAGTCAATGAATGATGCTTCTTGCTACCAGCTGTGCCTTATATGCACCCTGAATTAGGCTTCAGACCCCACCACTGGATTTTAGTGGGGTTTTTGTCCAGCCAGAAGACAACTGTCAATAACCAGATCTCTTTCAGCACAGAAATCTGGAGAGCAGAGTAAAGCAAACTAATTAAACAGATCCAACACCCTAAACCTGACAGGCACGTTGTAAGCCCCGACATCGGCACGCACGCTTCCCCTGGCCCCGCAGGGTGCTCAGCGGCCTCCCACGCTGCAGCAGAGCTGGGTACAGGCCCATTTCTCTCAGCTGCACCGCGCAGTGGAAACACCTCCCTGACCTAGCAGCTCAGTCGAGCTGCCGAGGGGGTCACATCTCCCACCTCCGCGTTAAAGAGACGGGCTAATCCAGAACAGCTAGATTTCAAAAGTCCCTCTTCGAAGCAGGGTAGTTTAGGCACAGAATTGCATCAGAAGAAGAGCTTGGGAAGACAGAGGAAAGAAGCACGGTACAGAAGGGTTGTTTTCTAGCGCGAGGCAGCAGCTCCCTTCCTCTGTGTTCTGCTTATCCTGACTCTCCAAAGCAGCATAAACAAGGGGAGTGAGAGTTCTGCTCCACTACTGCTGCAGGTATACGAGCATGGGGGGGGGTGGGGCGAGGAAATCGTCTTTAAGCACTCACACAGGAAGCCAAAACAAACCGTACAGATTCTGAAGCAGCTCAGCTGGACACTGTGTTAACAGCCCAGCACATCTGAGGGTCTGGATTACTTACCCTGGCTACGGCTCTGTCAGAAAGGTATCCAGCAGCAATGCTTCCCACCAGACCCCCGATCTCCAATGCACTCATGTAGGAGCTACCTAGAACATAGGTGGAGGGAAGAACAGGCCATCAGGCTGCGTCACAACCGCAAGGCTGCTGTGTGCTTTAGACCGAGCTCAACTGCTGCCAGCTCAGAGCAGCTCTGCTGGGCAAGACTCTCCAGCTCATCCTTGAACAAGAATGTCCCGGGAGGGCCCTGGCACAGAGGGTCTCAGTGCATGTGGCAACTTCACCACTGAGTTGTTTCGATACTGTTACGTATCTAAGCAGACGTTTAGGAGGTTGGCAAACAAGTGCCTCAGGTGTCTTCCTGCACCCAGCCTAGCTCTGGGCAATACCTGCCAGATTGCAGCCACATAACTTAATAATGCTGCTTTGCATCTTACCCACAAGCACGGATTGTCCCCTCTCCTGGATCAGGAAGAGCTGTCCCCAGTCGGTACAGCATGTTTTCACTCCAAAAACGACCAGGTAGCCTGTGGAGAGCACCCAGAGGTATGGTGAGAGCAGCAGCTCTCTCAAAGTACTGTTGTCACTGGAGGAACCTGTCAGGAAGATCAGGAGGAGTATTACTACAGCTTGAGCACAGCTACTGAACCACACGGACCCGGCTGTGCTTCCAGCAGGTCTGCAAGCAGGATTCACACACAGGGAGGGAGATATTCACAGCTTTACCTCCCCTGGTTCTGGGTTTGCTGCAATTTCAGAATCTTTTCTGTCAATTTGTTCCACTTCCAAAAGAACAATCAAAACACTACTTCAAGTGATTTTCTGTATTGCAGTTGCCAATAAACCCTTCACAAAGGTAGTTAGAAAAATGATCTGCTTTTCCAGACTCCATGCTAACATTCTGAAGCTGTACCTGTGAAAGTCACTACACAGACTCTAAGAAAGCTGCTGACTTTCAGGTGCTGCCTTGATTTCAGCATCAGTCTTCCAGGAACGCCTACAAACCTACCATCCCCAGAAAACACACTGAGGAAACAACATTGTTTTCTTACACAAATAGGTCAGGTCTAGCAGCAGAGGCATTGCAGGACAGTGTGGAAGATAGGCTGAGCTTCCACTGGCCTTTAAAATCCTACAGCAAACCTGTGTTGCAATTCCCTTCTACCCGTTGTGCTTTCAAAGGAGCACCACGCTTAGTGATCTGAACAAACATTTACTAACCAGATGTCCTAACTGAGGGCAGAAAACACTGAGCAGAGTCCACTGAGAGCCAGGGATCAAGAGAACCCGCAGCAGGGTGAGGGGAGAACCACCTGTCCTCTGCCAGCGAGGAGGAGAGGAAAGTCAGGCTTAAGGAAACACTCCCTGCTGCTTATGCTCATCTCACACTCACCTCTCTTCCCTTTCTTGGGTCCTTGATCGATGTTGGGTAGCCCAACATCTGATGGCTCGTTCTTAATCAGGACGAGGCAGGCAACAGAGACAACCACACAGATGAAGCCAGAGAAGGACAAAGTCATGCGCCAGTCGTAGTTCAGAGACACGAGAGCAGCGACAATAGGGCCTAGGCCTCCTGCCAAGTTCATGCTGGTAGACAGGATTGCCCACCAAGTCCCAAACTGGGAGGGCTCAAACCACTGTGCAAAAACAAGAAAAACGGCATGAGGTCTGAGAAAGAGCATGGCACTGCACCTGAAAATCCTCAATCGAGGCCCGTGCTGTGGGTATGGGGCAACTCAGACCCAGCTCTACAGAAGCAGGTAAAGGAGCAGCCAGTCCTCGCTCTCTTAGTCACACAGGGAACTCCAAACGTTACACAAGAGGAGCCTGACAGGTGCTCCCACCGTGCGCCAGCTCGGAGTTATTTCCGTTTACAGACCATGAAACTGAGACATGGGCTGAGAGAGGCAAGTTTCAGAGTGCACGGTTCGGCGACCCCACATGCTCAGAACAGCGTCCTGATGCAGAGCTCTGCTGGCACAGGACCACGAATGGATGTGCAGAAAGTCACGGGGTAACTTCAGGACTCGCTGTTGCATTGTCAGGCACGATCGGCCCAGAGTGCCTGAGTGGTGGCTGTTGCTGGCAGGAAAATGTCTGAGAGCCACATTCAGAAATGTTTTAAGAAAACACGATGTCTATTGTTATTTGGGCCCTTCCTTTCTGTGCACGCAACTGTCCTGGACAGTCCTTTCCTCCCCAGCTAGATACCTCACAGAACAATGCAGCTGTTCATCTTCCCCCCCACCCCGTCCCACAGGCACAGGCATTCCTGGATTTTACATCTTTGAAGAGAGGTTAGCACACAGCTGACCTCCTTTCCTTCTGTCTTAAGGCAGAAATCAATCTGTTCCATTTAGACCGTCACGAAACCCAAACCCATGCAGCTTAAAGGCTCAGCTCATGCCTCTCCTCCATACGTTACCAGGCTTTCTAACCAAACAGTCTGCCATTCGCAATTCCTGAGCTGCCTGGGCATGCAGGTGGGCTTCTACTCATCGCCCCTGGCCCAGCAGCAAACTGCTGCAGCAGCAGAGAGAAACAGACTTCTGCCTTTGCACTAAAAATACTGGATTCTGAGTCTCTCAGAGTGGAGCAGGTTTGCTACCAGATGTTCCCTATCCACCTGAGCTAAAATAGAGGCACGTGAACGAAAGGGCTAACCAACTTTTGCCATGTTTTCTAGAATAAGCAGAACCTTCCGCAGGGAACTTGCTCTGCAGCAGAAGACAGCAGAGCCGGTGGCTCTGACCTCCTTGGCTTGAAGGAAGGAGCAGGCGCGTTCCTCTGGATTCGGAGTCTGCACGAGCTGCTGCCGGGACGGCTCCGAAGCGCCTTCCCCGCACACACTGACCTTTCGCAGGATCTTCCCGCAGGGTGGCCAGCCCAGCCCCTGGGCCAGGCCGTTGAGGAACCAGAGCCCGGCAAAGGCGGCGACGGTGGAGCTCCAGGAGAAGACCACGTTGACCAGGCCCACCATCAGGAGGCCGGCGGAGAAGAGCCAGCGGGCGCTGAGCCGGTCGGAGAGGACCCCGCTGACGAACTTGCTGATGGCGTAGGCCGCGGACTGGCTGCTGGTGACGAGACCTGCGGCGGGCAGAGCCCGGGGCGCGCCTCAGCCTGGCGGCACGGCCCCCGCCCGCCCGCGACAACTGAAACAGAGACAACTCTTGGTGGGCACACTGCCACCTTTAAACACATAAGAAAAACAAAAAAACAATTCACTAAGTTAGTAGCGGCAACATCCCCAGAAAGAAATAAAAAAATTTACATCTCTATCCCATTTTGTTGTCAGACTGTTTGCTGCGTTCCGTTTACATCATGACTAACCAGGTCCATTATAAAAACAAGAAAGTAACCATGAAATAAATAGATGTTGACACTAGTGGGATTTCAGGGGTGTTACAACTCATCATTTTTCCTGCTTTCTCCTCCAGCTTCTGTCGTCTTCTCTTTTTTGGACCCTGTGCAATGAAGTAAACTCAGTTACAGACTGTAAGTTTTTGCAGCACACAAAGCAGCACTGAAAGTCCCTGACACCCATTAAGTGTTCCACCAAACTCTCAGCCTGCAGTACAGAAGTCAGGGGAGTGCTTTAGGGATGGACACTCAGTTCCCAAGAGCTGAAGGCTGACTGCCCTGCGCCGGCCCCACAGCACTGTGCTCACCCTGGGAGGGCAGAACACGCCCGCTCGTTAACAAAGACAGACTGGCAGCCCCGGCACTGGCCATAAGCTGCAGCGAGAGCATGAAGCAGCTGCCCAGGCAGGCAGCAGTGGCACCTCACAACTTCACACTGAAGAATGCAAATGTAGGAACAGTGAGGAACCCAAACTTTTCCTCTTTCCAGCATTAACAGCCTATTCACAGTCGGGGGTTCCACCATTTTACTACCTCCCACAGCCAAAGAGATGGAAGGAAGCACACAGGCATCAGCTATCAAGTTCTAGACCTTTAGTCAAACATTTACCCACCGGAGTCTGATCCAGGCTCATCGTCTATTGCTACCTTCTCAACTGTAGGAGGTTCCTTGGCTGGACCAACATCCTCAGGTTTCTCTATGTTTAAACCAGAAAGAAACAAAAGTTAAGGGGGAACACACAGGAGACTAGATGCAAGGAGACTGTGTGACCAGTGGTGAGCTTTACAAGCCAGCTGTGGGAGCTCAACAGGATTTTAGTCACTTGGTCTCATGGTGGATCTCTCTACAACACTCAGAGAAGCATCACAGAACTTCTTACTCCTCACTGCCCCTGTCTGCCAGGCGTTATGTCCCTGGAAGCCCTGGAGACGCACCGTTGCCCAGGCCAGTCACCTTTAGAGCAGGATCTTGAGCCAGAGGAACCAGAGGGGAACTCTGCTGACAAACAGCAGGCTACATTTAAAAGGACCAGGGCATCCGGAACCTGAGGATCTTAACAAGTTCAGAGAAATGCAAGTCTAAGTGTCCCAAGAGATTTTTTTTTTTTCTGGGGTACATCTAAGCCACAAACTTCTCTCATCAACAGCTCATTCTACTCCTTGATGTAGGGCAGAGCTCTGAGTACTTGGCTCTGGACAGCCAGAACACAAGAAGTGGCTTATCTTTCTTAGAAAGCAGGCAGGCAGCCAAAGACAGCTACTGACTAACCATCCTAGGAAGTTTATCAACACTTTCTGTTTCCTTGCAGAAAAAACCCCAAACAAATGGTGGGGAGAAAAGGACACTGGCATACCTAGATTTTCCCAGCTGTCTTTGAAAACTAAGAGGAAGCTCATTTAATCCTACAGTTACCTGTTGTCTTCACTGACTTATCTCCCTTTCACTGAAGGCGGAGCAATCCGAGTGTGTTACACATGGCAGTTACATACCAGGAGTTATAGACATGCCCCTGCCCGCTCCTCACCTTCTTGTTTCCCCTCCGTGGGAGGGATAGTATTCTCAGTCTCAGAGGCTGCTGTAGCATTCTTTCCTGAATCAGTTTTTGTGGCATTCTTCTCCTTTTTGGGTTTGGGTTTTGCAAACTTGGCCTTATTCAGAAGATACTGCACTTCCCTGTCCAGGGCTGCTATCTTCAGCTCTATGTCTTTGGACAGCAGGAGAGGTTTCTCAGTAGGAGAGAGCTTGTTCTGTTCAGCCAGTGTCTCATTTTTCCAGATCTGTGGGATGGGATGGGAGGGAAGAGGGGTTTTTTGAATGCTTCTGGGTTCCAGGAACCACTGTATCAACAGCAGCTCCAAGCCAGTGCTCCCGGGCCTCCTAATTTACACAGGGTAACACTGCTCCTTGCTACACTTCCACCACCTTCTGAGTTATCCAGACATAGATCAAAACAAAGAAATGAATCCCTCAAAACCCAGCAGCTGCTTTTACAAGCTGCACACAGCCAGATTACAGGGCTACACCCCACCACTCCTGGAGACAACTCTGCACATGCAGCACAAGCGCCATTATCCCCCAGAGCAGCCTGGGGTCAAGCTGGGCATTAGAAACACCAACAGACACAAAAGGTTTGCTGGCAGCATGGAAACAAAACAGGCACACTCTGTTCTGTGACCTTGAGTGAAAGTACACCACAGAAAACACAACCCAAGCTGCCACCCCCACCCTCCCGTGGGATCATTCGGTCATTTATTACCGTTGTTTCATTGATAGCTTTTTCAAGAGTACTCAGTTCCACGTCTGTGAATATCTGGTCAGACTCTGGAATCATTCGGGCTCCCCTTAAAGATAAGAAGTTTATTTCAGACTATACGTTGGCAACTCAGAGTTTACATCCCCAGTAATCACAATAATAAGTAGTCACTGCACATACCAACCAGTTAGCACATTTTGCACCCATGTCTCCTACATCTGCAGGAACCAGATCCTACATCAACCTCTGGATGCTAAGCACGGAAAACAGCCAGCAAATGCAGCTATCATGAGAGCAGACAAACAAGGAAGATACAAAGAGCTGAGGCCACAGGACCAAGAGGGAAAAATCTGCTTACAAACAGTGCGTAAAGCATTGGTCACTTCCCCTCTGCCCAGTTTAAACACAGCTTGCATCTAACGCTGACGTGTTCTGCAGAACTGAGTGCTAGGAAGCAGGGTTTTGCGGTCTTTCCTCAAGAGGCACTGGTGACTTTCAGACCACATGCAATTTGGTCAGTTCTGTCGGCCTCTCCTATGTTACCAGCTCCGCAACTCTCCTTCCCAACAGCTTGCTCTTACTTGAGAAAGATGGTTGAGTGGTTGAGCAGACTCTCCAGGGCAGCCAGGCGTTCTGGCCACTTTCTCCTTTCTTCAACACGGAAAAAGAGGTTCCTGCAAAGCTTTTTCAGCTCAGAAAGCCTGTCTTTCAGCTCCTGCAAATGGGGAAGAGGGGAAAGGCGGCAGTTAGTTCACTCGCTAACTTCGTAAAGCCTCAGAGGTTAAAACTGCACTTTTTGTTGTTTTCTCTATCAAATACACTATTTTGATAGAGTTAAAAGAGCCACACAACTCAACAGGGTACTGCTGAAGCTGTTGAAGATGCACCCACAGCTGGAAAAACAACTGTATTATGTTTTGTGCGTAACGCACTGACAAAGCAAGAAGCTTTCACAAACCAGGTTATAAAGGATCGAGATGGATCAACACCCCATCAGCCTGTGTGGCCATGTCTGTGTCAGTCACAGCAGACCGGTATCCTGACTACAGGCAGCAGTACCTTGGTTGCAGCTGCGTAGCCCTCCTCCTCCATCCAGCTGGAAGCCTCGCTGAGCTTCCTGGAAATTTCTTCTCTCTGCTCCTCAGTTGAGACAAACTGATACTCCTCTTGGTAAAGCTTGTCCTGAGGAGAACAAAGCAAGCACTCCTGTCAAATACCACTGACTGGGGAAGCGTAAAACCACCAGGTCACCCATTTGCAACTGGACTGGGCTGTGGACTCCTGGGGTGCTACCTGTGCTGGCCAGGAGACTGTCATTCAACCCCCCAAACATGAGTTGCTGCTCCTGGCACCAGCAGGTAAATACACCAGGTGCACAGACACATGCGTATGCCTGGCATGATGGCAAAGCTGCAGCCACAATTCCACACACACTTAATGTTAATTGCCTCTTCTGTACAAGAGTTCTCAGAGAAGCTGTAACTTCTTTCCAGCCTGAGTGTGACTGTTCCAAAACACAAAGGTATAAGGGATACTGGAAAGCCAGATTTTAATGTGTGAAAGCACTCATTCTGTGTTGAGAAAAGCTCCACAGTCTGCATGGGCTTGGGAGGCCTAACAGCAACAGAAAAAGTGACTGAAAGATGAGACTAGGCTCTTCAAATCAGCTTCCCCCCGCTCAAACAACTCCCCTGCACTCAGATCAGCCAAGCTGTGTACGACACTCCTACTTGCTTTCTAGGAATTCTTGTTTCTTTATATCCCACTTACCTGAGTCTCAAAGATGAATGACTCCAAGCTGTTGGCCGATTTTTCTCTTTCCTGTTTCTCTAGATCTCTGACCATCAAGTCTTGGAGTCTAACATGTGAAGAGAAGAGAAATCAAAGGTACCAAGTGCCTTTAGATGAGCACATCACACACAGCAGCGCTACATGAGCTACGCCATTCCAAAGCAATTCCCCTCCTTTATCTGGAACCCTAACCTAGCAGAGCTGTTTCAAACATACTTTTTCACTGAGCTCTTCAGTTCATCCTCCAGCAGGTCAGGCACATCATTTATATCCACTTCCATCGTGATCTCGTGGACAAGCTTCTGCTTCTTGGGTGCTTTGATCTTCTTTTCTTCCTCTGTTTTGCCAACTGTGCTGTCATCAGAACTTTTGGACTGTACTTCCTCTTTCGCAGTTTCTCTATTTTCTTTGGGATCCTGTAACAGATAAAGTACATTTTCAAGCAAGGGAACAGATTTGCAAACTTTTTTTCCAAGGCAGGGCATTGACAAGGGAAAAAGAATTCTACAGAGCACTGTAGGAATTTTATTAGTTTCAAACATACCCATCACAGTCCCATTCCTTCGATCTGATGCTCACCTGAGACTCTGATTTCTTGCCGCCTTCCTTCTTCTGTGACTCTGTTTTTGGAGGGGCAGTTTCTGCCTGACCTGGCGACTGTTGTTTCTCTTCTCCCTGCTCTTCACCAGCATCTTCTGCACTGCCCTTTTGGTCCTGTTTCTCCACCTGCTCTTCTTTACCCGTTTCTGCTGGGCTCTCTTCTTCCTCCTGGTCATCATAAGCAAATAAAGGGGAAACCAAACCAACATTTTAACCGTAGAAACTCCAAATGTTTCACAGAACAGATAATTCTCCACAATAAATGTATGTATGAAAAACAGCACTCACAGAGACTGCAGCCATTAGCTACAATATGAACTGAGTCACTTTAGTGCAAGACACGACTGTGACAAGGAGCTTTCGTCTCCCTAGAAGGAAACCCAATCACTACTGCCCACATAATGGCAGCTGCGGCTATACGGCCTGGGAGAAAGCAAGGAGCCTGCCAGGCACCTGCACAGGCACCACACAGGGAGAAGAAGCCAACCCACAGAGCACCAGGACAATTTAGAAATGAGAGACTCCCTCAGAAACAAGCCCTGTAACGTGAGTCCACTGCTGCTGGACTTGACAGCCAAAGATCATGCATTTCTTTAAACACAGACCACGTGAAACTCCAGGGGAATATAGCACTTTCTGAAAGTATTTAAACCCCCAACACTCCGCCAGATATCTTTAATTCTGCTCATGCGAATCACTGCCTCTTCAGCAGCCGCAGCAAGGCCCAGGGGCTCCCTCCCACTGGCCATCACCCTGGGGCTCACCTGAACCGAGTCAGTCAGGTTCTCCCCGGTCTCTGGCGTATGGCCACCACCCCCAAACAGGCTGGAGATGGTGTTTCCAAGTTCTGTCGATGGGAGACAAAAAATCCAGAGTATTATGTATCCAAAAGAAGAAAGTCATCTTCAGCTCTTGGTTCTTTCTCTCACAATCACAATAATCACTCCCCCCCAAGGAGCTCCCCCAGCAGCGTAGGCTAGCCACATACACTCCAGAAACTCATCCTTCCCTGACCTCACTTCGTGTTTTTGCATGTGCAGACAAGTGGGGCCTGAAATGTGTAACTTTGACTAAAAAGCTTCAAGATTTAACCTGTGGCTGCATTAGCCATCCCTGCATCTCCCCTTCACCTCCGAACATGCAGATTTCCAACTCCTCTCTATGGGGAAGTCTGTGCTCTAAAACCTGACAAAGGCAAAGTGCAAGTCAGGGCATCGCAACACAGACAACAAGAAGGGAGAACACCACAGGGCTGCAGATGTGGGACTTCCCTTCAGGACAGACCTCCTGAAATTAGCACAGAGAACCTGTGGCCAAACATTGAGGAAACGACTCCTATTTTTTAGGTTGCAATGCATGCCATTGTCACCTTAGGAGTGTGTGACATTTCAGAGCTGCTGGCAGCAGCCAGAAGCCACTTGCAAAGGGCTTTTATGTATTTTGGAGGTGTGTACACAATCAGAGGCCACGGCTAACGGTGCTTGCTCTGCTCAAAGCAGAGATATGCTTTAGTTATTCCAGCTGCTGCAGACAAAACACAACAGTTAGTATAAGTATCAAAGTTCAGTATTTACTTGTCAGTGTTGACTCCTCCTCCAGCTTGTCTTCCACCAAGGTCTCAAACACAGACTCCACCTTGGAGAGAGGAGCACAGAATTAGTTTTAAGCAGAGACAATCAATACTGAAGAGAGGGACAGAAGCAGAAAATTGCTGGAAAACTGCTGACAAACATCCCAACAGAATGGTGCTTACCCGGTCCAGACTTAGTACTCCGCTCTCATCCATGTTGAAGTGAGCTTTGATGCCTTTGGATTCATAATCCGAGTGCTTCTTGAAACTGTCCCCAACCCCCTTTAGCCTCACAGTAGTGAGATTGAGAGAACCAAAAATCCTGGTGACACAGGGACAAAAGCGGAGAGAAAACTTCAGATAACGAAGCTGCAAGAACAGCTAACCCCCTCTCACGGTCACCTCTGCCGTGACGGACAACTGCACAGAGCAAGGAGCCGGCCAAAGCACAGGCATGGAGAACAGGTCTGCAGGCAGGCGGTGGTGCCCAGACACACGACATGACTTCCAGCCCAGTGACCTGCACTGCCACCTGTCTGCTCAGATGCTGGGCTCAACTCACCGCAGGTCGTCCTGGCTCAGGAAAGACAGATCTCCATAGTTGACATAGAACTCAAAGTCATCCGTGTAGCGGTTGAAAGTGATCACTTTGCGCTGCGGATAGGGCGCCATGCGCTGGAACAAAATCCTCTTGTTATGCTTTAAACTCCTGGATTTATCGTCCTCCTCAACTTCACGGGTAAATTCCACCTGCAGCACAAACAGAAAACAGGACTCAGCAACTGCAAACTTCCTCTATAGTGTCTTACACCGGCAGTGTCTGGCTGCTCTGCCTCGTGCACAAGTTGGGGGTCAGGCAGGTATTTCTCAGCAGATGTTTCTATACACCTGGCTTCTAGGATACATCACTTCTACAGCAGGGCCAAAAGATCTCCATAACTTCCTTACTGAGAGGAATCCACAGGTCACCTGGAAGGTTTCTCCCACAACAGCCCCATTTACTCACACCTTGCACACCAGAAGAAAAGCCAAGGGTTACCTGGATAGGAAACACAGCAGCATCCCGAACGATGAAAGGCTTCACCTTAAAGGCTTTGCTCAGAGCAGCTGCCTGGTAGACTGCTCCCATGGCAGCAGCCTCATCGGCATTGATGTTCTTGCCCAGTTCTTCTCTAGGAAGTGAAAAGCAACAGATGTCAGCTTTGCAGCTGTGGCCACAAACTGCGACAGACTACGAGGGGAGTCTCACATACTCACTTGCCCACAGCCTTCAGCAAAACCTCCTGCACTCTGGGGACCCGTGTGGCACCGCCAACTAGAATCACTTGGTCAATTCCATCCTAGGGATTGGAAACAGTCACTTTGTTTTGAGAAGGCAATTTCGTAAAGCCAAGTTCAGGGCTCCCTCACGCTCCTTCCCCGGCCACCCTGCGCTGCTGCGGTGCCCTGACAACACCCGTGCCACGCCCCGCCATCCCAGCGCAGCTCTGCGCCCCACAGATCTGACAGGCTGACGTGAGCCAACGCGAGGAACCTGGAGCCAGGCCCGTCAAACAGGGACAACGTGAGCGCTGCTTTGAGTCACCCAAAACATGGGACTTCTGATTCAAAATTACAGACTGTAATGCCAGAGACAGTGACTCGGACAGGAGCTGGACCAGAACAGACAGAAACCTGGACCCTAGGAGGTGACTCAGTGTCTCGCACAGAATACCAGAGCCAAAAAATGCTCAAGAGCCTCCTGGCACCCTGGGAAGTGAGAATTTAGCAATGCAGAACATCCCTCCACAGGACTGCACCGTGTTTGGTCCAACCGCAGTCACAAGAGCGCTTCTAAAGGGAGCCCTCAGAGAAGCCTGGACAGCAATGATTTTGTTTCCAGGCATTTTGATTTAAAACTTCATGAGTAAGACCAGACCAGTATCCAAGACAAAAACAAAAAAAGATCGGGGTTTCAAATCTCCAGCTCAAAAGCAGAGGTTTTTTAACAAACAAACCCCTCCTGGAGGTCCTTTGTTTCTGATGGACAGCACAGGGAGCCAGGACAGGCTCCTGCTTGGCACTGCAGGCAGTGACCTCACTCTGTGACAGTGACAGGCATTGGGACTGTCACCAGTGCCTTGATCGGGATGTGACAGTGCCTGCCTACATACAAATCTGAGCTTGTTAATGTGTTTTCCTAAAACATACCAGACTCATCTCTGCGCTGCTAAGAGCCTGCTGCACGGGTCCTGGCACTCGCTGGAACAAGTCAGAGCACAAATCCTCAAATTCTTGCCTTGAGACCTTGGCCTTGAAGTCAATGTCATCCAGTAGCCCCTCAATCTGTCCAGAAAAAAAACAGCCAGAATGGAATTCTTGGTGGAGTATTCTCCAAGCAGAATCTCTGCCTGACTTGCCCAGAGTGCAAAAACTTCCAGCTTTCTTAAGGCACATAGGACCTGACCGCACTCATCCGAGCCCTGCCCCTGCCAAGGTGATGAAGAGGATGGAGCGTGGATGTAACGGGCAGCTTCTCTCAGGGGAAGTTTAACAAACTTCCCATGACTCACGCTCCTTTGCTCCACTCAGTCACCACTGGAACCAAGCGGGCGCAGGTCAAGGGGGACCACCAGTGCTGCCGCCAGCCCTGCAACACCAGCAGCGACGCTCTGCAGCATGGCGATGGCGAGGAGGCACATCCGCCCTACGTGCCTGTCCTTAATCCACCCCCCTCTGAGCCCCAGAAGAGCTGGAAACCCCACGGCAGAAGGTCAGACCTGTGCCATGTGGTCAGCATTCGCACTCAGGACAGTTTTCAAGCGGTTCGCCTCCTTCAGCAGTTTGGCCATGGCCCGGGCGTTCTTTCGGACGTCTTTCGAAGGGTGTTGATTATTAAAGAGTTTTGCCAAATAGTCCCGGAGACGAAGCTCCATCTCTAAACCTCCGAGAGTACGGTCAAACCTGAGCAAAAGAACAGAGGTGTAACAACTTAAACTGAGCTGAAATACCAACAAGCTTCATGTATTATTTCACAAATACGAGAGCATCAAGTGGTCAAAAATAGCTGTGGTACTGTATCATCTGTGATTAACTGTGAAAGAACAATGGTTGTTTCAAAAAGAACACATTATAATGAAACAAAGAAAAGGAAGATTCACCACCACAACAGCCTTTGAGCAGGAAACTTCATATATTCTGGTAAAGGCCTTATTGCCAAGCACATCAAACACCCAAAGGATAACTCTCAGGTCCCAGGTATTTGCCTGGAAGCAGCAGTATAAATGTTGTGGTGTTAAAATTGCCAGGCTGGTGATTCACAGCACCCCCCCTCATTTGGTGAATACACTGTGTTTTCATTCCTCTCTAGAAGAATACTCTTTTTCAAACGGACACTCTCTACTTTTGTAAGATTATAAGAAACTGAATTATACTAAAATGGCTTGAGGCTTTAAAAAAAGCAAGCCTGAAGAAAATGAAGTATAATGGCAGGCTACTGGAAGTTCTCAGTTATCTGCTGCACAAGACAGCGACACCAGAATTATTACCCACTGGAGCCCTCTTGCTCCAAACATTTCCCACTCTGCCATCCAAATTATTCTGCTGAAGGCTCACTGCAAAATTACACGTTTAGAAGAGACTGTGAAAGAAATGGCTTCTTTCCTGAGACCTGTGGGTTTGTACATCTCATGCTAAGCAAATTCTTACCCAATGCCCTGGATCTGCAGTTGGGGTTGGGTTCCTGAGTCCTTTGTTTTCACTGTCTGATACGTAACAATAGTACAAACAGTGCTTCCTGCTCCCATGTCGTAAAACATGATATTCTGAAAAGAGAAGCTGGAATGGTGAAGCAGAAACACCTGGATATCCCCCATGAATACGAACCCACTGCTGTCTGAGCCTGATATAGGCCAAGACTATCCGCTCCCAAGCCTGGCTTTACACTGTAACGACAGGACTCGTGCTGTGATCAAACACAGGAGACGTTCAGGGTCATGCCTGACACAAGCCAACAAGAAAAATTTTCTCTACCATTTCATAGATCAGAACACAAAGCTTTGCTCTTTAAAAGTTTCTTCAACTTCATGAAAGTCAAGTATTTCAGAGTTGGTCTTCCAACACCTTAGAAAACTGCTGTTGTTATCCCACCCCACCCCCAGTTGACGGGCAAGGAACAAACACAGGTTTACAAAACGGGAACTCCCAGCCACCTGCCCTCAGCCCAGAAGCCTTCAGGCTTCACCACATATTCGCACAGGGTTTTGACCCTTCCTCTGTCTGATGAACACATGAAAACAGCAGAGACCAGCTGACTAGCAGAGTCCCCTTCTGCCCAGCTAAGTCCTTTGGATTTTACCTGCAGCACTTCCCCCCAACACACAGGCACTCATGCAGGATTCCCCGCAGCTCCCAGCTGCACCTACCTGTGCGGTGGCATTGATGTCCTTCCTCCTAAAAACACCGTAGTTCAAGGCGACAGCAGTGTTGTCGTTGATCAGCTGCAGCACCTTCAGGTCGGCCATGCGAGCGGCGTGCAGAACCGCCCTCCTCTCCGCCTGGTTGAAGTAGGCAGGAACAGTGATCACTGCGTCCTTGATGGGCTGCTCTGAAAGAGTTGCAGGGAATCTGTTTTATCACCAGCATAGCTGTGTGCAAAGACTCATTATAACGGGGCAAGTGTAGCAAAGCCAGAGAATCCCTGGTAAAGGCTCGTACAGGATGCAATGCTGAAGCAGCATCAGCAGCCAGGATCACTAGGATGAACCTGTGTCCTGCTGAAACCAAGACTTCAGATTCTCACAAAGCCGCAGGTCTACTGATCTCTGTCACATGCGGGGATACTCTCAGATGCTCTGGGATACCTTAGATTTCAACAAGCATTATCTTCACTTACTTTATCTCTTGATTATGTTTGCTCTCCAGAGCAAAATGTCTTTGGACTGGCCTTAGCAGAACAACCCAGACAACATGCAGCCTCCTAGTAACTCTGCAAGCCAAACACTGCAACGGAATCACCCAGCTGTCATTACTGTGGTGTTTCACTAGCAGCATGGCATGGGAAATGCATGACAGTCTCTTATCTGCTAGTGAGTTTCCCAAGAGAGAGCAGTTTTTGTCATTCAGCTCTGGCAGCAAGTCTGCGTGCAGAGCAGCTCCAACAGACTTGACCAGAGCAGCCTTCCCCTTCCCCTGCAGGTGCCTCCAAATGCGCCTCCAGTCACACGCACGAACGAGGGAGCGCTTCACTCCTCCTGCAGAGACTGCCACTAAAGCATCTTAGCTGCAAGCCTGGGTGGGATCTGGGGTGCCTGCCCCCAAGAACAGGATTAAAACCCCAAACTTGCATCATATTAGAAACAATGACTTGACGGCTACTAAGTCTTGCTTACGATCTACACCTGAAAAGACCCAACATCCCGTTTCTAAAAATCCATGGATTTTCAAACGCCTCTGGTCTCTACTCAAATCCTGTAATATACAAACACACACAGAGAGATACTGTAACATCCTTCCAACCTGCAAACTCCTCAGCCAGCCCACGTGAATAGTTCAGGACCATCCCCAGCATCTCCTCTGGAGAATACTGTGTTGTTCTACAAGAAACAGAAAAGGAAATTACAGCGACATCAGAGCCAGCTGTAGAAGCCTGGTAGCCGAAGTCCCACCCACCAGGAACCCAGAAGCAGCCACTTACTGGGACAGCTTGAAGATAACAGTCTGCCTCTTCTCATCCTTCACCAGCTCGTGCTCTGGGAACCGGGACTGGTACAGCCCCACGTGGGGGTTATCGATGCGCTTACCCAGCAGATCCTGAAAGTATCTGAATGCCACCTTGGGGGTCCTTATGGACTGCAGAAAGAAAAAGCATCACCCAGCTGCATTTCTTAGGCTTGGCTGTTGCCAAACAAACCTCCCCCAAGCTGTGTGGCAAAGAGCTCCTGGGATGGGATTTAGGACCACAAGATGGTACACGAAGAACAAGTACAGAAAGCCAGTAAACACACCAAGGAGATGAGAAGTAGACAGACAAGAAATAAAACTTCCTCACTCAGACATTTATCACAAAGGGCCCAACAGCAGGAACATCCTGTGTACAGGGATGGCAGTTGGTGTGATGAGTAACAAGAGCTCTCACCATTCCCAGCGCGCTGTCACCAAAGAGACGCTCATTCTCCTTCAGAGAAACAGCCACAGGGGTTTTCCTTCGTGACTCCCTGTGTAGGAAGAGAGGAGTCAACCCATCCAAGCAGGTGAACGTCCAATAGAGTCCCTAGTGAGGGAGGGCGTTGCTTCCATTTCAGAAAGACTACAGGAAGGTGCTCAGGTACTGCCTAGGGAGAGGAAGGCCAGCCTCCCGTCAGGGCTTTCAGACCTCCTGGTGTTCCTCATGACATAACAAACGCACTTTACCAAGACACGGAGAGGCACCTCTCAAATTCACAATCGAAGCTGTGGCGGGCAGGTGATTGCTGTTTTTCCCACAACTTGAGATAAGTTAACAGGAAGTGACTTGTTTCTGCTCCGATTCTTGCATGAGTGCACAAAGGTGAGTATTTCACTATGATAACCATGAAACAGCTTAAAGTTATGCCCTAAGCTCAGTGCACACCACCCACTTCCAAATGCCTCGTAACACACTAACGATTGCCTAACATTAGGCTACAGAAAAGCAAATTGCTGCTAAGAAGAAAGGCTCATGAGTAGCTTTCCGGAATGTGCTGCTTTGTACTTATACAAGACTTGCTTTATTTTTGCTTTCCTCCACCAGCGAGCAAGGGAAGGCAGTTCCCTCATTCTACCAACGACTGCCAAGTTTCAGGGAGCTGGGTGAAAAATCCGTTTATTATCTTTTAGTCTAGACTTCCAGAGAACTAGGATGTTCCTGACCATACATCCTCTCCCAACCACAGGTTTTTCATTCAGTGTCTTGGGGACGGGCTGCAGGAACAGCAGCCAAGTGAAAGGAGAGCTTTATTTGCTTCACAAACAAGTATGGGTTCTGAGCAGCTGCAGCAAAACAAACCCACCCCTGGGCTCCCTTACGGGAAGCTGGGAATGGGACTTCTTAACGGGATGGGCAAGCTCCCGTCTGAACAGTGACACGACCTGAACCACCCACACTTTTGGTTGCTCACTTAAAAGACCCCCAAAGCACAAGCAAGCGTCCCAAAGCTAAGGTCATGAACTGAACTGAGGCCCTGAAAGATGCTCAGTGGGGCAAGAAGCAAGTCGGGAACCCCTGAAGGAGAAGACGGGCGTGTTCCCCTCGCAACAGAGGAGCGGCGTTAACTGAACCCTCGCGGCCTAAACCCAGGGAGCCTCGAGCCCCGGCAAAGCAGCGAGAAGCGCCCCCCGGGCCTCTTCGATGTCGGCACCGCGCCAGGCGCGCGGAGCAGCCGCTCACTTGTTTAAGACGATCTCCATGGGCACCCCGGGCTTCACGATAGCGATCTTCATCGACTCGCTGCCCACATCCACCGACATCACCGCCACGGACCCTGCAGCGCGCCGGGGAACACGAGAACCGTCAGAAACCGCCTGCGAGTCGGGAGACCGACCCCTCTGCCCGGCACCGCGCACCCCG